CATTTCAAAAGTCAACAAAAAGATACTTTTTGTCAAGGCAACTTACATCAAGATAAAGTCTTCAAAAGAAAAAATTATAAAAATAAAGGTTGTAGAGGACATCTTGAGATTTCCAAAAAGTCCAATATTACCTTCAAAAAATAAAAATTGAGTGAGTTATGACCATTTCAAGTTGGGAAAGTTTGAGCAAAAGCATGAAGTTCAAATTGAATAAGCTTGATATTTTGGACTATTGGGCCATGGTTTAAGGGTCCAAATGTGTGTTATACTCTTCATACACCTTAGAATTCATTCATATACCCTTTGGCTTTGTTTTATTTTTATTATTTTTTATTTAATTCATTAATAATATAAAATAAAATAAGATAAAATTATATCTTACTACAAGAGTCCAAGCCCATCATTTGGTTGCCCTAAATTTCTCTATATATTCAGATATTGAGAGAGTACAACACACACATGAATCCTTGCCTCAAATACTTGTCCAAATTTCCAAATATTTTCAAGAACCCTAAAGTTTTCAAACCCTTATTACACTACCTCTCACCACAAGTTTGCGATTCCAATCAATTCCATTCCCTCCAAAGGTAAGATTGGATCATTTACAATGATACAAATGGTCAAAAAAACACTCATGCAAACATCACGACCTCATACATATTTGAAATTATGTATTTTTTGTTTTACTGTATTTTAATGTTTACTAATGTTTTCTATGTGTTCATGAGGTCTAATAAAGCAGAATAGAACAATCGCAAATATCCCATGCATGCTAGTTTACGAAATACCATGTTTTGCTCCGATTGGTATCATTTTCATTCTAGCGGTCAAACCATGGCTTTTTAGATTAAAATAACATTGCCATTGGATTCGCAGTCCTCGATTAAGGGGGTAGGATATTTTTGATTACTAACCTTACGTATTTTGCAGATTGAACAAAAAAGGGTCACCAGAGAAGACGACTGGAGCTAGGGCTCCGGTGCCTCTCCGGTTAATACTTTCAGACTCATATTATATATTTATTGTTTTATTTATGTTAACGGATGTAAAGCCACCCCAGTGACAGAAATGTGCACGATAAAGCATTAGTCTCAAAGGGCATGGGTTCGATCCATCCTTTTGACGTTTTGTTTCTTTAATTTCTAATATTTTTGCAGGTTGATTACAAAGCGTGTTGGAGGCGCATCTTGGACACAAACGCGCGCTTGGCCTGGTGTTATGCATGTTGCATGAAGGTCTTAGGTTAGGGGGCATGAGTTCAACACTCATCTCCAGCATTCTTTTTCTCCATTTTTTCTACTAACATTATTTTCTCTTTTTACCTTAACCCTAATTTTTTTAATAAACCCTAATTATTTTTTAATCAACATTAAAACAAATTAGGTTTAGTTTATTCCTCATAAATTAATTTTTATTTTTTTATTTATTAAATTGATTAGGATGATTAATCTCGATTAATTCAATTACCTAACTTTTTCAATTAATTAAAATCAATTAGACTTTCCAATGATTATCAAAACCTTTTCATCAAACGATTACGAAACAATTTTTAATCTTCGTGTGTTTACTTTCGCATTAATTTTCCCGATTATGTAACTACTACGATTTGTAATAGTTTTAATTAGGTTTTTATTTGCTTTCTTTTTCCCCCAATTTTGTGGTTTTGTACCCCCTTTCCCGAAGCCTTGTAATAGTTTAGGTTTACTTTCCGCACCTTTACTTTCTGCAATTTACTACTTATGATTGCTCGTAATTAGGCTATGTATGGCAAGATCTAAAATCAACCCTTAGATACCCTAAATACAAGATTAAATAATTGAACTCAATACACATTTTACACACTCACCTCTAGGGTGACCCCATTTGTTGCTTTCAGAAAACACAGTCATGTCCCTCGAATGTGGGGACGCTTTAGCAAAGACCCCTGATTAAAAAGATCGTAGTCCCTCGATGACCCTTCGATGCTTCCTTCGGTAAACGATCTTAGTCCCTTACGATAAATTGCTAAAGTGCCCTATAAGTTTCCTTTATGACTGTACAATGACCCGCGCCTGTCCCTTACATCCAACAATAGGGCTTCCTACTAACTAATGGTAGGATAGAACTATCTAAGGAGGATGAAAATAACATGAAAGATATTTGAGTAGGTAGATAGCTCGTAATCGCTTGCTCACACAACATATTTTTCACACAAAACACTTCTCTTCTGAAATATTTTCAAAAACAAACACTTTGTATGCATTCTCAACTAATACGAGAATCATTACAAAGTTGCCGCACTTAGGCATTTTCAAAATATTTTCAAACACATACACAAAGCATTTCAAACAAATTTAGCTAGTGATTAAGATCCCGTAGATAACTACGGATGAAAAGGATGCTAACACCTTCCCTTTTCATAACCTACCCCCCGAACTCAAAAATCTTGAAGGTATTTCCTGTTCTTTTCACCCTTTCCTTATTGGATAAAATAAAAGTCGGTGGTGACTCTTGCTATTCGTAACATTTGCGATAAAATGCAAAACCAAGTCAGTTCTCCCACCGTATTATAGTACCCTTGTCCCTAATGAAGGGTTTATTATTAATATTATGTTCTTGAAAAGCAATCCAATTAGGTGTTGAAGAGTTTGGACATTATGTTGTGGCCTCGTGTCATAACGTATATGTTGAATTCAGCAAGTTTGTGATGCTAAAGGAAATGATGGAATTGGTGTATAAATCAATGTCTAAGCATCCATAGGAGTGTGAAGATATTGAGTCTTTGTGGAGCAGAATGCCCTACTTATCTTAAGAACAATTGTATGGGTTTTCTATTCCTAGTTTGATAGAAAGATGGACTTCTAATGGAGATTTATGTATTAAAGATTTATCTTGTGATCTATTGGATGTTTTTATTCAAAGATTTGTATATCTAGAATATAAAAAAAAATAAAGGTTGTCAACCATGAAGAAAGTAGAAGGTGATTTATTTATGATCTTATGTCTTAAGAGAATGAAGGATTGTTTACCATATATGACCTACAAGGTAAGGTGACTGTATTATTCCAAAAACTTGATATCTTGGTCAAGTCTTTAAGGATATGTTCATAATAGTTATGATGCATCTTCTAGAGGAAAGATTATTGGAGGTGTTTGGGTTTTCTAGCTAGGATTAGCAAGGAAAAACTCAAGTGACAAAAGGTTGTTTTATTAAAAGGAAATTTAAGTAAAGGTTATCAATCTAAATGTCTTAACATTGTGTTGGACATCAGCTTACTCATGCTACATGCATATACTTCAACTGAAGATATCTCTTTTGTGAAAAGTTAATTTCAACAGTTTTGGTTACCTTGTCAAAGGTCAACTTCAGTATCGTTTAACCAAATAATGGTTAAAACTTAGGGAAGGAATTAATTGTGTTATTCCATCATACCTTCTTATAATTTTAACTAAGATTATTGGTATTTTGACACTGACATTTCCAGACACTTAACTGCAGAAAAAGTAATGCCGATGGTTTGTTTAAGTCTCATTCTGATCAAATGTTACTTTGGTGAAGATGCTAAAAGGGAAGTTTAAGGATATTGGCTAATTAAATAATTTAGGATGAATTCTCTAAGTTTTTGTAATTGGTTTTTCTTCTTACTAAAGGACTGTTGACTATTATGATAAACATAACTCAGTTGTGTGATCAAGGTCTGAAGGTATATGTTATCAAGGAAGAATGTTCTATCTCTAATGAGATGTTTGAAGTTCCTCTGAGGATTTAAGAACCATTTATATTTGTGGATTTCACAAGTATAATTATTTATCTTGTTACTTGGTGCTCATGAAAGAAGAAGTTGAGATGTTTCACCAGAAGGAGCAACATTAGATAGTTGTAAAAGCTCTAGAACCTGTTATATGGATTTGTTTAGTTCAATGCAAGGTGAGTGCACTACAAGAAAATTGGCAGATTACGATAGTTATTTTGGCAGATTACGACGGTTAAAATCGTCGCAATTTGCTATCCACGACAGTTGCTTCGCATTTGCAAAAATGTGTGTCCCCAGCCTGATTCGCGACGGTCACACAAACCGCCACACCAACAGTCGCTCAAGTTCACGACGGGTTAGATATTGTCGTGACTATCTTTTGAGTTTTTAAATTCTTAATGGCGACGGTTTGTTACCGTCGTGACTATCTTTTGTGTTTTTTTAATTGGTAATGGCGATGGTTCGGTACCGTCATGACACTTTTTTGAGTTTTTTTTTTAATTATTGATTGCGATTGTTCAATACCGTCGTGACTGTCTTTTTATAGTATTATAATTTTTAATTTTTTTCTTTAAATTATTTCTACTATAATATTTTTATATATAGTATTATTTTCAATCACTTTGTAACGTGATAAAATTAATTCCAATAAAAAAAATTTAATATCAAATAAGTATCATAATATCAAAAAAAATGCAAGTTTCATAATCATATAAAATGTGAGTTCCATAATCATGTAATGTAGTACAAAAAACTGAAAACATATCAAATTCTAATCTTATAATAATAAGTATCATTATGCCAAAAATACATAAGAAAGTTCATAATCTAATTAATTCATAGCAAATTCTAATTTGTCCTTCTAGATGATCCATTATCCAAATTCGGTAGCTAGACTCAGATGAACGTCTACCATCAGCAGGTGATTCCAATCCCTGAAAAAAGTATCAAAATAATACTCTTTAAAATAATACTCATAAACTTCAACTTTAAATGAATCAAAATAATATACCTGTCTTCCACTAGAATTTTGCATTTGCAATAAGAGTTCAATTTCCTTTGCCCTAGCATTATCCATTTGTGTTAAGAATGTGACTGCCTCCATCAATTCGTCAATTTTTTAATTCTTTTCTTTAAGTTCATTAATTTCTTCTTGCATTTCCTTTATTTTTTTTCATTTTCTGCAGAAGAAGATGCCAATCTCGTAGATCTATTAATCTGAGATGGTGTAGCTCCTAGTCCCACACTACGAATATATCCATGTTGTTATTTTCCAAATACTTTCTGAAATGCCTCATTTTCAGATACAGAATCCTTAATTGCAGCTTGTAATTTTTCCTGCACATGAAAAAGAGCAAAGGGACATGCTTAGCTATAAAATATACTACTTATTTACTACTAATTTATATGGGGCAGCGCTCAAGAATGCAATAGCTATAAAATATAGTAAGAATGCAGTAGCTAACATATATTGTTAATTTTACATTTGTTACTGTAAGATCCATTTAATCCAATAATAAAATTATGTTACTTTTGTTACTGTAAGATTCATATAATCCAATAATATGATCCAATAATCCAATAATATTACTTTTGTTACTTTTGTTACTTTTGTTGCTGTATTATTTTTCATATTTTCATATTTTCATATTTATACTGTAACAATAATAAAATTCTACACTTTAAAATTACATAGTCAAATAATAATCCAAATGATATAAAATCCATAGAAAGTGGAAAATGGTTACGTGTCAAATTAGTGGCTGCATTTAACTATGAACGTGTTATGCAATATAGTGTAGGGTGCAATATAATCGTCACAATTTCTTATGAGCTTTATCATTTAACTTGTTTTCAAACAACTACAACTTCAAACAGCATATACATTAGTGTTTAAATGGAGTTTAAAGCTCACTAATACATGAGTGGAATGAAAACAGTATCTTTGGTTTATATGGTCTGCAAGCACCTTGGAATTTTAGTCTAAGTGAACTGCATGCATAATAACATGATACTTGTCTTTGAATCTGCTAATTATAGGTTCTCAAAAATACAAGTTGAAATTTCATGAGACAAAGTGTAAGACTAATTAATTATAACTTAGTAAAACTATAACAAAACTGTAACTTAGTAGAACCATAAAAGAACTGTAACTTAGTAATCAGTTTTAAGACAGGTTCTCCCCATCTCTAAGAGATGTCAAAAGGTTTGAGTTTTTATCAAACCTTAAGGAGGCTAAAAAGTATTTCAAAATAATTAACTTGTACTTACATTATTGTTGTATGCATCTTCATTGACAAAAGACCCATCAAACTTTTTATGAGAAATTGCATACATTTCTCCTCTACTGTATGTTCGTCCATCTCTCAATTCCTACAAATAAGAACAAATATTAGTCATTTGTACTATCAAGCATACAATCAATATTATGTAGATTTAGACATACCAACTCATGTTTCTTCCTTGCAAGCGACTTAGATCCGAGTGTATGCGGAGCCTTCAAGTTTGCTCTATTTTCGGCATTTTTTTGGGCTAATTTCTACATTGGTAACAAATAAAAACACTTGTTATAGATAGGAATAACTTACAAACCAGAGAAATCTAACAAATAAAAACACTAATATTACCTGTGTTTTTTCTTTCCGCCTATAATGAACAAAAACAGCCCAATCGTTTTCCAGAATGCCTATGTGTTTTGGAAAATTTTGAAGATTTTCCTCCAAAGTGAGATCCCATCTATAATATTGGCGAAACAAATGAGATCGGGCATCCCTCAATTTCTTTGAGGCAGAAGAAAATATGAATTCTTTGTCATGCCCATCATCAACAATAAAATGGCACTAAACATAAAAGTAAAAATTAGTTGACAAAACAAATAATAATCACCATGAAATTAATTTAAAAAATATGTAATTGTTTATTAATGATACCTTTATCTTTGATTCATAAAACTTTGTTTTTGTATCCGCTGGAATATCCTTCCAACTCTCGAATATTATGGGAAAGTCTTTAAACATTCTAATAATTACACCCAAATACCCCGCTAACAAACCAGAAGCTTGTCCTATTGCACAATGATCCTTATCGAAGTCAAGTATTATCCATGTTCCATCCGGCTCTGATTTCGCAACCAAGTCTTTCACACATAAACGTGTGTTTGAAACATTACCCACCTCATCTATCATATAAAAAGTAAACAAATTAATGTCATAACTCAACTATGTACAAAATTTAAATTATTTACAAATACTTTAACTTTAAATTACTTACTTATGACTTTTACATCCCAATACACAGATTTAGCCACTTTAACAACATCTTTAGTCTCATCTCCTACCACAACATCTTCAGCCTCATCTCCTACCACAACATCTTCGGCCTCATCTCCTGCCACATCATATTCGGTCTCATCTCCTTTCACAACATCGTCATCCTCATATTCTACCACAACATCTTTTGCAGTTTGGATTGGTGGAGGGGTTATTGTAGTTTTGATCGGGGGAGGGGTTATTGTAGTTTGGATTGGCGGAGAAGTTATTGTAGTTTTGATTGGGGGAGGGGTTATTGTAGTTTGGATTAGCGGAGAAGTTATTATAGTTTTGATCGGGGGAAAGGTTATTGATGATTTTCAAGTTGTAGTTGAACGTAGGTGCTTTTTGTTTACTTCAAGCTCTCCAGGTTGTACAAACTTCAGACGACCCTTCACAGACTAAATAAAAAGCATAAGTGAATATCAGTCAATAATCAATACAATTAATTTGTATGGAGTAGTATTGAGAATTTATTACTAACCAGTGATGGTTTGGAAGAAGACTCAGATGATTTGTTAAGGGATTGAGAGAGCGTATGAAGATTGAGAGCCTCTAGCTTTTTCTTATTCTCTTCCATTCTTTTGAGGCGCATATTCTCATATGGTGTAGTCATTGTCTCACAACAGGCTTCAACTGCAAGTATAAGTAATAAAACACAAAATAAAAGACAAATTATGCAATAAAACATAGAGTAACAATGTCATCTAATACATTAATTAGGGATAAGCAACAAAAAAACATAGAGTAACAATGTCATCTAATACATTAATTAGGGATAAGCAACAAAAAACATAGAGTAACAATGTCATCTAATACATTAATTAGGGATAAGCAACAAAAAACATAAGTCTCACACAAGTTACAAACAAACTAGACTTCTTATCAATAAAAAACTATATCTTAATTATTCTCATCATTTGCCGCTGAAGTTCCAAGATCATCATTCGAAAAAAATTGTTCCAAATTTTGTGATGGATATGGCTCAATGGGTGTCATAATTTCATCATTTCCACCCATGCCATACAAGTCTCTTGGCTTCAAATGAACAGGTATGCTCCATCCTTGTTCACTCTCATCATCCACATAAAAAACCATATGAGCTTCTGATGCTTGAATGTATGGATCATTATCTTCATGTTCCCCATTATGTAGTAGTCTTGCAAAGTTTATAAAGGTAAAACCCAACTTATCTATTTTAATGCCTCTTGGGTTTGTGGTATTAGCCCAATCACATTTAAACATGGGCATTGTAAAGCCATCATAGGAAAGCATAATAATGGTTATCAATCTTCCATAGTAAGGGACCCCTCCAAATCTCATTTGAGTATCACTATTGCTTGAATAACTTCGTGTCCCAAACATGCCAAAAACTCCATTGTTTTGATTTTTTTAAAGATTGTCTCGTTCTAATGTTCGAAACTTGAATCCATTGATATTGAACGCGGTAAATCTTTTAACTTTATCAAAAGGGCCATGAGCAAGACTAATGAAAACATCTTTATCTGGTCCATGAATGCTGTCAAGATTGTTGCAAATCTATACACGATACAACATCCAATTAGTCTTGTTATAATTAAAAACCAATTCAATACAAACATCTATTTTTGTATAAAACTCACACGATTGCGGAACTAATGAGAAAACTCTTTATGAACCTTCTTGTCTATCTCAGCAGCACTTCTTTGACTGTGCCTCATTTGGTTATGAGTAATACTTCGGAACTACATATTTGATTATTCGATATTAGATGTAAAAAAATCATAATAGTGTAGATGAAACCACTTAAATGGAATAAAACTACTTACTTTAGATAGTCGTCAACTATTGGACAATTTGTTAAAACGTGTCTATGAGCCTGCAACTTTTCAATTGGTGTTAGGGTGTAATACGAAGATCCACCCACAGGTTTTCCAACTCTAGGAAACAATTCTACCACACGTGAACCTGTTTGGATATCACCAATAGGGTCATCATCTACACGTCCAGGTTGATTCCATCTAGTCTCAATGTTTTCTAGATATCTTGAACAAAATGTAAAAATCTCTTCAAAACGGTATTCTTCCGCAATAGACCCTTCTGGTTTTGCCTTATTACGTACATGTGATTTAATTTTTCCCAAGTACCTATTATTGAACCACAATAATATCGATTAAAAATTTTATACTTTCTAAGTTAGTAACATTAGAACAAAATCACATAGTTTACCTTTCAACCGGATACATCCATCGATAATGAACAGGACCTCCAAGTTTAACTTCTTCAACAAGGTGAACAACCAAGTGGATCATAACTGTGAAGAAAGAGGGAGGAAATAACATTTCCATGTGGCATAAAATGAGGATAATTTGGTTTTGCAATTTTTCCAAGTCTTCAATTTTCAATATCTTGGCACATAATTGTCTAAAGAATGAGCACAACTCAATCAAAACTGCTGAAATCTCATGAGATAATGTTGTGTGAATGGCTAATGGTAGAAGTTGTTCCATTAATATATGACAATCATGACTCTTCATCATTCCATTCACCTTGAGATTTACTAAGTCAATGCATCTAGAAATGTTGCTTGAATAACCACCAGGCACCCTAATATTCCTTAAAGTTGTTAAAAAATTCCTTTTATCTTTACCTTTTAAAGTAAAGGTTGCCGAAGAAATTCTACCATTTTCATCAGGCCAAAGCTCAAGTCTTATGTCCATATTTTGAAGGTCTTCTCGAGCTTTATAATGGTCTTTACTATTTTGCCTATCATTTAGTAAAGTAAATAGGACATTATCACACACATTTTTCTCAATATGCATCGGATCAAGATTATGGCGTAAAAGATTATCCTTCCAATACGGAAGTTCAAAAAATATGCTTTTCTTTTTCAATTGTTGAGGATGACCTTGTGTAGGACCACCCTCTGTACTATCACCTTTTATAAGTTGTCCCTCATGTGTTCTTTTTACCTATTTTTCTTTCACTAGCTTTTTACTAAAGATGACTTCAACATCTTTAACCTGTTCAAAAACTTACTGTCCAGATAATGTTCTCGGTGGACTCCGCATTTCCTGTTCACCATTAAAGCGAATCCTGTTCAATCTAAACTTGTGTCTCCGATCAAGGAAACGGCGATAACCCATAAAACACCATTTACGACTAGCTTTAAGATGGAGAGGTGTAGTTTGAAAGTTACATGATGGGCAAAAAGGTCCGGTGTATGTGTTCCACCCAGAAAGTGCACCCAAACCTGGAAAGTCACTAATTGTCCAAATCAAATTTGCATGCAACTTGAACATCTCTTTCTTGAAAGAATCGTATCTATCCACACCATCTGTCCATAACTCCTTCAGCTCTTTGACTAAGGGTTGTAAGTAGACATCAATATTATTTCCTAGTGTTTCTTTATCAGGAATTATCATTGACATTATAAATGATGTCTGCTTCATGCAAACCCATGGAGGAGTGTTATATGGAATGAGAACAACTGGCCAAATACTATTGTTTATACTCATCACACCAAAAGGATTAAACCCATCACTAGCCAATGCAAGACGTACATTTCACGGATCTGATGAAAACCAAGTATGTGTCAAGTCAAATTTCTTCCAAGCTTTTGAATCTCTAAGATGCCTCAACATTCCATCATTGTTAGTATCTATTGCATGCCATATCATATCCTCGGCCGTCTTTGATGAAAAAAATAATCACTGTAATCGAGGTTTTAATGGAAAATAACGAATAACCTTGGCAGGAATTTTCTTCTTTTTCTTGTTAACAGAGACATCTTCATTTGTTTTCTATTTTGAAGTGTTGCAATTTTTGCAAGTCTCCCTCTCTTCATCTTCTCCCTAATAAAGCATACAACCGTTTGGACATGCGAATATCTTTACATAATTCAAACCAAGTTTTGTGATTTATTTCTTGGCTTCATAAAACGAACTTGGAATGTTTGCATATTCAAATGCATATTTTATTAACTCTAAAGTCATTGTCATTGCCTTCTCACTCAATCCACATAAACACTTTATATGGTACAACTTAACCAAAAAAGATAGTCTTGAATATCGTCGACACCCTTCATATAAAGGTTGTTCTCCTCCTCTAGCCAATTCATAGTACTCCTTGGCTTCATTTCTTTCTTGAGTTGCACTTGGCATCGCATAATCTTCTTGGTCAATCTCCAAATTTGACGCATATGGTATTTCATTTGCATGATTCCTATCAACTCCAAATGCATCGTTGATCATGTTCTGAATAGGATCTTCGACAATTATAGTATCTTCAACCATATTTAGAATAGTACTAGGGGATATAGTACTAGGTCGTACAAAAGACTCTCCATGATGGATCCACATGGTGTATCCCTGCGGAAATGGTGACCAACTTAAGTGGTCGAACATGTCACTCCTACTCTTTGATTTTCTAAAACCGCAACGTTTGCAAGGGCATATTACTACATCATTTTCTTTTGCACCTTTAAATGAAAAATCAATAAATTCTTTTATCCCTTGTTGATACGCAATCGATGATAGTGGCTTAGTAATCCATGACTTATCCATTTCTTCAAAAAATAAAAATATAGATATTATATTATATGTTCAAGAACTCTAGTACTTACGAAAAAATGTTATTTTGAATATAAGCAATAGAAAAATAAAAGAGATGGAGTTTTAGTATTGGTTGTTTAAAACAGAAAAGAAGTGCTACAAGCTAGGAAAGATTTATCAATGGGCTGTCAGACTAAACTATGAAGGTCCAATAGAACACATTTTAATGTTCAAAAGCAAAACAAACACAACACAGAAAAACAAAATGAAGCATAAGCTAAGACTTAGGTCAAATAGGGAGAAGGAGATATAGTATCAATTTTACCATGGTATAAATCTCATAATAATACATAAACACGGAATTTTGCAGAGCATGTTGCTGGAAGCAAAACTAATTGGTAGCAACAAATTTTAGTTGATGATTCAAGTTAGAAAAAGGGGTATCCAAACAGATTATAAAAGATTGACTTAGATAATTTAACCTACTTTAAAGGAGAGCAGGTATCCAAACAGAATATAGAAAATTAACTTGGTTAATTTTACCTGCTTTAAAGGAGAGCAATGGGCATGCCTGAACTCTCAAAAATGCTTCTTTAGATATTCCTCCAATTTGAATATAAGCCTTGAGACAAGGTTGTCAGCTGAGTATGGACCAAAGATATTTTCTTGTCAGTGAGGTTTCTATTTTAAGAAAAAGTGACAGGAAAAACTTCTTGAAACAATTGCAATAGCAAAAAGTGTGCTACAACCTTTTTTTAAAACAGAAAAGGAGTGCTACAAGCTAGGCAAGATTTATCAATGGGCTGTCAGACTAAACTATAAAGGCCCAGTAGAACACATTCCAATGTTCAAAAGAAAAACAAACACAACACAGAAAAAAAAACGAAGCATAAGCTAAGACTTAGGTCAAATAGGGAGAAGGAGATATAGTATCAATTTTACCATGGTATAAATCTCATAATAATAGATAAACACAAAAATTTGCAGAGCATGTTGCTGGAAGCAAAACTAATTGGTAGCAACAAATTTTAGTTGACGATTCAAGTTAAAAAAAGGGGTATCCAAACAGATTATAAAAAATTGACTTAGATAATTTAACCTACTTTAAAGGAGAGCAAGTATCCAAACAGAATATAGAAAATTAACTTAGTTAATTTTACCTGCTTTAAAGGAGAGCAATGGGCATGCCTGAACTCTCTAAAATGCTACTTTAGATATTCCTCCAATTTGAATATAAGCCTTGAGACAGGGTTGTCAGCTGAGTATGGACCAAAGATATTTTCTTGTCAGTGAGGTTTCTATTTTAAGAAAAAGTGACAGGAAAAACTTCTTGAAACAATTGCAACAGCAAAAAGTGCGCTACAACCTTTTTTTAAAACAGAAAAGGAGTGCTACAAGCTAGGCAAGATTTATCAATGGGCTGTCAGACTAAACTATGAAGGCCCAATAGAACACATTCTAATGTTCAAAAGCAAAACAAACACAACACAAAAAAACAAAATAAAGCATCAGCTAAGACTTTGGTCAAATAGGAAGAAGGAGATATAGTATCAATTTTACCATGGTATAAATCTCATAATAATACATAAACACGAAAATTTGCAGAGCATGTTGCTGGAAGCAAAACTAATTGGTAGCAACAAATTTTAGTTGACGATTCAAGTTTAAAAAAGGGGTATCCAAACAGATTATAAAAGATTGACTTAGATAATTTAACCTACTTTAAAGGAGAGCAGGTATCCAAACAGAATATTGAAAATTAACTTAGTTAATTTTACCTGCTTTAAAGGAGAGCAATGGGCATGCCTGAACTCTCTAAAATGCTTCTTTAGATATTCCTCTGATTTGAATATAAGCCTTGAGACAGGGTTGTCAGCTGAGTATGGACCAAAGATATTTTCTTGTCAGTGAGGTTTCTATTTTAAGAAAAAGTGACAGGAAAAACTTCTTGAAACAATTGCAACAGCAAAAAGTGTGCTACAACCTTTTTTTAAAACAGAAAAGGAGTGCTACAAGCTAGGCAAGATTTATCAATGGGTTGTCAGACTAAACTATGAAGGCCCAATAGAACACATTCTAATGTTCAAAAGCAAAACAAACACAACACAGAAAAACAAAATGAAGCATAAGTTAAGACTTAGGTCAAATAGGGAGAAGGAGATATAGTATCAATTTTACCATGGTATAAATCTCATAATAATACATAAAAGCAAAAATTTGCAGAGCGTGTTGCTGGAAGCAAAACTAATTGGTAGCAAAAAAAATTTAGTTGACGATTCAAGTTTAAAAAAGGGGTATCCAAACATATTATAAAAGATTGACTTAGATAATTTAACCTGCTTTAAAGGAGAGCAGATATCCAAACAGAATATTAAAAATTAACTTAGTTAATTTTACCTGCTTTAAAGGAGAGCAATGGGCATGCCTGAACTCTCTAAAATGCTTCTTTAGATATTCCTCCAATTTGAATATAAGCCTTGAGACAGGGTTGTCAGCTGAGTATGAACCAAAGATATTTTCTTGTCAGTGAGGTTTCTATTTTAAGAAAAAGTGACAGGAAAAACTTCTTGAAACAATTGCAACGGCAAAAAGTGTGCTACAACCTTTTTTTAAAACAAAAAAGGAGTGCTACAAGCTAGGCAAGATTTATCAATGGGCTGTCAGACTAAACTATGAAGGCCCAATAGAACACATTCTAATGTTCAAAAGTAAAACAAACACAACACAGAAAAACAAAATGAAGCATAAGCTAATACTTAGGTCAAATAGGGAGAAGGAGATATAATATCAATTTTACCATGGGATACTGTTAAAAGTGATGGATATGGTTCTAGATTTTTTAAGTCCTATTGGGATACTGTTAAAAGTGATGTGATTGCTACTATAAGGGAGTTTTTTTAGCAGAGTAAGCTTTACAGGGAGTTTAACAAAACAATTGTTACTTTGATCCCTAAGAAGGATGATTCTAAGTATGTGAGGGACTATAGGCCAATAACAGGTTGTACAACCTTTTACAAGATAATTTTGAAGATCATGACTAATAGGTTGGGAAAGATTTTTCCTGCTATTATCAGTTATCTTATTCTAATGTATTCAAACTCCAGTTTTTCAATAAACATAATCCTCGGTACTTGCTTCATAATGCATCATTTCCAGAATATACAATATGAAACAAAAACACACATATTTGCATAAAATTATTTTATATTTCCAAAGACAGCATATTCAGTTCAACAGCATTTCCACTGTAACTCAAAACTCAAAACTCAAACTCATCAGCACATTTATCTCAGCAGCATATTTAGAACTTATAAAATCAAACTCAAAACTCATAGATGAAACTCATAACTTATAAATCACAAATTGAATACATTTTCACTTATAAACTCATAAAATATAAATCAACAAATACATTTAAACTTAATATCACTATCTCATAGATGAGATACAATTATATAGGCTCGAAAGTACACTAAATTTATAAGTTAAGGAACTATATGGCAGTGCTAAATAATTGCTAGCTAGACTCTAATTTAATTCTTACTAGTTAAGTATATGAAATTCATTTTATCTATTAATGAAAGTAACTAAAACACCTCCTCAATTGTTAGGGAATTGTATGATGTACATTTTTAACATATGATGTGTAGAGATGTTATTTTAAGGTTTCAGATTTGCTGCTCATGAGAACTGCAAAGGTTCATTAATCCATTTCCTATTGAAATTATTTTAATGATAATAAATAAAAGCATAGAAAAACATATTCGTATTTTAATTTTATCCTTTGAATTTATGGTGAAAAAAGGGAAACAATTTTTAAGAACACGAACATGCATAGCACCCAATTACACCTAAAATAAAATGTACTATAGTCATAGCTAGCTTCAGTTGTTCACATGTTTGTCAACAAAATTTGGTCAAACGACAGTAGTTTCCTTCTGTTACCATGTGGATCCTATGTGTTTGTGAGATTGGAAAAATTTGGTTCTATTTTAAAATTCCAAATACAAGTTTCAAATATTGTGAGACTGTAATTCTTAGAGAATCATTCATATCATTTATAAAATTAGAAGCAATTGCTTACAAGTTATATACCTATATAATTTCAAGGCTGCTTTTTTACATGGTTACAAGTTATATACCTATCTAGTATTAACTTCTTTTGTATTTCCTATACATGAGTATAACAACAAACTTGTTCCAATATGTTGTAGTCTTATTCTAATGTATTCAAACTCCAGTTTTTCAATAAACATAATCCTCAGTACTTGCTTCATAATGCATCATTTCCAGAATATACAATATGAAACAAAAACACACATATTTGCAGAAAAATATTTTATATTTCCAAAGACAGCATATTCAGTTCAACAACATTTCCACTGTAACTCAAAACTCAAACTCATTAGCACATTCATCTCAGCAGCATATTCAGAACTTATAAAATCAAACTCAAAACTCATAACTGAAACTCATAACTTAAAAATCACAAATTGAATACATTTTAACTTATAAACTCAGAACTTATAAATCAGTAAATACATTTTTATGTCTTCAATATATCTAAGAAAAGAAACATTGGCATATTTGAAGAGTAGAATTCATTCATCACATATATTTGCAGAAAAATTTAGGGCTTGAAAAGGGATTTAGGGTTTGAGAAGACAAACATGTTAAGATTCAAATTGATGGTGGTTACTTTGACGGTGTGCATGGCTGAGAGAAATTATTTGACGATGATACAAAACCCTAAACCCATTTGCGTGGCTGAGCGAAATTATTTGACGATGAATCAAAACCCTAACTCATTTGCGTGTGTGAATTTTGTTTGGCTGAGAGAAATTATTTGACGATGAATCAAAACCCTAACTCATTTGCGTGCGTGAATTCTGTTTGGCAGTGATTATGAAAAAAGCAGTGAAGACAAAACACAAAAAGCTGCGCGAAATATGAGTTATTGGATGACGACGGTAGGACTCTGTCGTGGATGTTTTGTAATTGTAGGCGACGGT